TTGCTTTTTAATCCTTTGATTCAGATAGTACATTCAGATTGTGCTCATTATACTTAGGAATAGAGCCCATATGAACTTGAAAGGAGCTGTTGGCACCTTATAGATAGGGTAGAAGAGGGTTGGTGGGATGACTTTGGAAAACTAAGAGACATGGTTGGTGGTTAGTTAAAAGAAAATGAAGCTCTAATCAGAAGTACAAATTGGTTCAGTTAAGGAGGGAAAATAATTAAATTGGAAACTATGGAGATTGGTGAGTTGGTCCCACATACATGTAGAAACTAAGTAGGAGCCTTTAATGGAGTACCTATTTGCTTGACATCTCATTAGGGAAAAGAATTTTCTCAATGTGTGAAGTTACTAACAAACCAAGAGCAGTGAAAGGCCGAGACAACACTATGTCATGAGAGATTTGTATTTCCCAAACATGTTGAACACTGAAAATGTAAAACATAGGAATTTATTAAAGGAATTCCATTAGAAACCTATGTGTTGTGTACACAGATTAAAGGAGATAGGGAAAAATGAACTCAGTTGAATTAAGAGATTAAAAGTTTTGTTTATATTTAATATCTACAAACGTGTTGAAATTATAAGACAAATGGAACAAAAGTCAGCGATTATATTTAGGCAACATGGAGCAGCTGATTAGTAAGCATTGCTTATACAAGCCAATGTAGATCCAATATTGTACCTTATTGCATTGGGGATGTCTCATGACTTCTAGATTTTTCTCAAGTATAAACACCATTTCTTAAAGGCATTTTATACATTTATTACATAAATGAACAACTGTGTAACTATCAACTATACCTATAATTTTTTATATATGTATACAAGTTGAGTATCCCTTATCTGAAATGCTTGGGACCATAAATGTTTCAGATTTTGGATTTTTAAAAAATTTATTTTGGAATATTTGCCTTATACCTACCATTTGAGCATCCCTAATCTAGAAATCTGAAATGCCCCAATGTGTACTTCATTTGATCATCATGTTGGTGTCTGAAAATTTTCAGTGATCAAATTTTGTATCACCAGTAGTGGAACACAATGACATTATGTCCTTGTAGGGTGGTACAAGCATATGGTAGGGTAACAGAACTAGAGTAGAGAGTCTTAAGTTTTTGATTTAACCCTTTAATTGTAGGCTCAAACTTCATTCCATGATAGTCTCTTACATAAGACCTCAGTGAAATTGATCAACATTTCTAAAGTAGCTGAGGTGTTGGATAATTTTGTGAAGAAAATGTAATTTTTTCATAGAATTGAAGGTGTGATGAGATTAGATAAGTAAATATGATCAAACTTCTAGTCTTCTAGTACTGAAAAGACTTCTGAGTACTTGAGTATTCCAATCACTAAAATGTGTGGGTGTTTTAAAAAATCTCTTTTAACCCTAAAACTTAATTTTGGCAACTTCTTTGTTTTCTTTTTTTTGAGACAAGAGTCTCGTTCTGTCACCCCAGCTAGAGTGCAGTGGCGTCATCATAGATCACTGCAACCTCAAACTCCGTGGCTCAAGGCATCTTCCTGCCTCAGTCTCCCAAGTAGCTGGGACTATGGGCATGCGCCACCATGCCTGGCTAATTTTTCTATTTTTTTGTAGAGATGGGGTCTCACTCTTGCTCAGGCTGGTCTAGAACTCTTGAGCTCAAGGGATCCTCCCTCCTTAGCCTTCCAGAGTGCTAGGATTACAGGCATGAGCCACTGCACCCAGCCTCTAACAACTGAAGATTTCTAAAGTAAAAGGATTTAAAAGGGCAACTATCTGAGTAAGTTTAGTATTAATGAAATTTAATTTCGAATGTCATTTATATAGTATAATAGTACTTATACATCAATAGAACATTATTTTACTTACGTAAGCAAACTTTCTGAAGTAATAAAGCTTACTCCTTTTAAGTACGAAAGTATTTAAAATAAAATAATTCTGAAAGTAGTCTCCCAAAAATGTAATATTTATTAACATACTTTGCTTCTGTAGTGGTGCTAATTGTTCTAGGGTTTGAAAAGACCTGGGTTTACATCCTGCTTTTGCCAGTGTGTCCCTGGGCAAGTGTTACAGTATCTGAGTCTCATTTTCTTCATCCGAACACAGAAATCCACAGTTATTAATAAAAGAATATGTGAAACACCTGAAATAATAGGTGCAAAATGAATATTAGTTCTCTTGCCTTGTTTTAAAAATCTTTTTATTGTTAAGATAAAACATAGAAACAGAAAACCACACAGGACATGTATAGTTTAGTGAATTTTACATTATGTTCTTTTTATTTAAAATATCCAAAGGTATTTTTTTTTCTTTTTTCTTTTAAATCTCAATTTTGTTGGACTGTCTTAGGGTTGGTCATACTGGGTTCATAGTCTAATTTTGATTCATGTTCTTTTATGCCTTATGTAATTTTCTTAGTATCTTTTAATTCTGATAGAAATAGTACGTTCTAGTTTTGATCTGTTTGAATATGTCTCTCTGGCTTGCTTTCGTGTAGAGATATTCTGTTCCCTACTCCCTCTTTTTTACTTTTAGTATCTTTATATGGGGTTTGACATCGTTACTTTGTTTCTTTTTTATGTGGCTGTAGTTTTCCTAATATTTTAGAAGGAAGTTTGGTTCAGATAACTTTTATAACTTTACAGAACTCCCTCTTCTGTTGTTAAAATTATGGCAGCTTGATTTCTAAGGATTCCTGGCTCTGTACCCTTCCCCTACTTTAATCTGGTCTTTCTCTTTTCCTTCTCCTTTGTTCCTGTCCTGCTTAATTTTGATTCATCTCCCAGCAGTTGCTCTCCATAGTGGGCCCTGTCCTAGAAGGGATCCCTGGCTAGTTAGTTTTGACAGTTGATGAGGATTAAACTCATCTGGTCCCTTTAGGCCTTAACTTGGATCACTTGCCACCTGTGTACTGTTGGCATGGCCAAATCTACTCCCAGTGTATCTACTATTCTTTGATTGGCTGCTGTGCTTTAGTTAGTACCTGAATGTGATTTAGTTTTTTTCCTTAATATTTTTTCTTGATCTTAAAGGATGTCTTTATGAACATTATTTACTTTGTTACGATGACCTCAGGGCAAGCAGTTGAGGAGTGTTCACCTTAAGCCTTTAGGCTTATGTCTTTTTAATAGATTTTATAGATCAGGCTTTGGCTCATGTCTGTAATCCCTGCCACTCTGGAGGCTGAGGTGGGAGGATCTCTTGAGGCCAGGAGTTTAAGGCTGCAGTGAGCTATAACGTGCCAATGTACTCCAGCCTGAGTGACAGAGTGAGAGCCCATCACTTAAAGTATGTACATAGATTTTATAGATAGATGTAATAGATTTTTCTGTCTTGTGACATTGAATTTCATTTGTCTCCACATTGCGACTAACAATTTCTTTTCACTCAGGGTAGTTTGTTGGGGACTGGTGTTAATGAACTAAACCTTAGTGTAAACCATGGTAATTGAAATTTGTGCATATCAGGACCATGCAGGCAAGATCTCTGCCTGTAATGTAAAAAAACAGGTTGTACTTAGATTTGGTAAAAATTGTAAGGTGATAATGGGACTGAATCTCAAGGAATTTACACAATAACATAGTGGTCTTTCAAAAACAATTTTATTCTTTAAAAAATAAGGAATTTTAGAGAAATTCCTTGTGTGTGTACATGTACACTAAGACTAAGGGTAAAGGTCTGAAAGTAGAAAGTCTTCACTTGTTTCTGTAATCTTACTTTTCTACATTGTTGAATATTCGTATCACTAAAATCTTCATTTCTGTGACCTGAGTAATTTACCAGTCCTTGTCTGTAGATGACTGTGACTATTGCTTTTTCATTACTACAGCAGAAGCTTTAGTGGTTTTGTGAGGTCTACATTTATTTTTTGCAGATAAATGGAGAAATAGGAGGGGTGGAAGGGGTTACAGGAGTGGCTAAAGGACTACCTTAAGCTTTTTATGTGCAAATTTTACAGTGAGGGTGGGAGTGTCCCAAAATATGTTTATTGTAAATATTTAGAACATATTGAAGGATATAAAGAAAAATTTAAAATCACTTCTAGTTCCATCACTCAGGTGAAACTCTTGTTTCATCACTCTGTTAATATTTTGGTGTGTATCTAATCATACTCTTTTTATACATACATACTTTTGTGCTTTTATACAAATTATATTAAAGTGGGATCATATTGTGTATTATTTCTCTCAGTGGACTTCCAGCATAAATACACATTTTAAAGCTTTTTCTTATGTAAAATTTAAAATACATAAAAAAGGGTAGAGACCAGACTAGTACAATTAACTTAATGTACCTGTCACCCAACTTCAGTGATTACAGTACATGGGCAGTCTTGTTTCATCCATACCCATCTACTTTTGGATTATTTTGAAGCCAATTCCAGGTAAATATTTCTGTACACAAAGTCAACAATTTGACATTTTGCCAAATTGCTTTCTGGAAAAATGTTATTAATATACACTTTGACAGAAATAAGATAACCTCAAGGTTGTTGTGGATTAGATGCATATAAAACGTTTTCCTCAGATAATACAAAAACTCTTAATAAAATGAATTTGACCATGCTTCTATTCTAGCATCAAACTTTTAGTTTCCTCATTAGTACATTTTTCATAGGAATGCTATTACTATTAGATAGAGTGACCATAAAATTTATTGGCCAAACTGGGACACTTGAGATTAAAAGGAGGCACTATTAATAATAATGTCAGTATAACGGGCATAAACCAGGACCATGCACATGAGGTGTATACATAACATGACTATATCACAGTCAATAAATGGTAGCTTTTATTAAATTTAAGTGTTTATGTATGCCCGTGTATGGGTAGATATTAAAATTTTTCCTTTAAAAAGGGTGTTTTGAATTGGCAGCTCAGAAAGTCGTAAGTTTTCATTTCTATGTGTTTTTGAAGCTGACAGTGATCTATTTTTTTTAAATGTAGTAACTCTAATTTTTATAATTAAGAATTTGCATTTGTATTAATATTTGTGTTAATATTTGCAGCTGGAGAATGCTGGAGGAGACCTCAAGGATGGCCGCCACCACTGTGAAGGAGCTGTTGTCATTCTGGATGCTGGTGCTCAGTATGGGAAAGTCATAGACCGAAGAGTGAGGGAACTCTTCGTGCAGTCTGAAATCTTCCCCTTGGAAACACCAGCATTTGCCATAAAAGAACAAGGATTCCGGTAGACTTTTCACTAATGTTTTTATGAGGAGATTGAGCTTAGGTTGTTGAGTATTGTAGTATTTTTTTTTTTTTTTTTGAGACAGAGTCTTACTCTGTTGCCCAGGCTAGAGTGCCGTGGTGTCAGCCTAGCTCACAGCATCCTCAAACTCCTGGGCTCAAGCAATCCTTCTGCCTCAGCCTCCCGAGTAGCTGG